ATGATACAGTGGTTCCCCCTCCTCCGCGGTCTTGATTTCTGTGGCTTCAGTTACCCGCGGTCATCCATGGCCTGGAAATATTACATGGAAAATTCCAGAACTATACAGTTCATGAGTTTTTAACTACACTGCTCTATGCGGTGTGATAAAAATCTCTCCACATCCCGCTCTGTGCTGCCTGGGACACAACTCATCCTTTCGTTTGGTGTCTCCACACTGAGAATGTTCCTGCCTGGCGATCACTTAGTCGGTTATCAGACAGACTGTCACAGTATCACAGGGCTTGTGTGCCAGTCACCCTTATTTCACTGAAAAATGGCCCCAAAGCCATTCACATACCTGTTTTCCAGTATATTGTTATGTTCATTTTATTATTAGTTATTGTTAATCTCTTACTGTGCTTAATTTATAAATCAGACTTTATCATTGGCATGCGTGTATTGGGAAAAGCACAGTATATTTAGTGTTCTGTACTATCTGTGGTTTTGGGCATCCACTGAGGGCTTGGGATGTATTGCCCGCAGATAAGGGGGGACAGCGGTAATCGCCGCTGACCTCACGGATGTGCTGTGCTGAGCCAGACACGCATTTTGCTGTTCAATCCTCACAGCTCTCTGAGGCGTGTCGTATTAGCCCCATTTGATAGATGAGAAAATTGAGGCACAAAGAAGGAAGGCGCTTGCTATACTTTGCACAGCTGGGAAGTGGTAGAGCCAAGATCCGGGCCAAACAATCGGGAGTCAGAACCCCTACTCTTCCAGAATCCTGACCGTGTGGACGTAAACCACCCACTTGTACCTGTACGTGCCATGTTTCCCCGAAAATAAGACCTAACTGGAAAATAAGCCCTAGCACGAGTTTTTAGGATGCTTGTAACGTAAGCCCTACCCCAAACATAAGCCCCAGTTAAGACCGTCAGCCAGACATGACTATTTGAATAAATGTAGATTTTTGTACATGAATAAATGAATAAATGTAGATTGTTGGAGCAAAAATTAATATAAGACCCGGTCTTATTTTCCGGGAAACACGGTAAGTCTCCATGGCGTGTTCTCCTTCAGTGTGTGGGTGCAGCCAGCTTGCACCCCACATCTGAAGGACAGCAAGGTTTGGCGGTGTCCTCATGCCCGTGGCAAACCCTGGTGCGTGGCCCAGTGGCTGGACAACCCGCGTGAGGCCTGTCCGCGCTTGGCGGGCGCCTGAGTTTGTCGTCTGTGCGGTGGCCTCATGGGTGTGGTGAAGGCAAGGGTGTGCGTACGCCGGAGGCCCACGCCGGCTCTCGGGACAAACAGTGGGAAGGAGTGAGGCTTAGAGCCGCCTGCCGCCGACAGGCCCTGTGGTCCACTCAATTGCTGGCCACAGGGTAAAAATTTTGGTGCTGAAAAATGTAATTTTAAATAAACCATCTGAAAAACATCTCTCAAAACTCAGGCCTTAACAAAGCAGAGTGGTTTCACTAGCTCACCAGGTGTCTTAGTTCAGCCTCACAGGTGACCCAGGCTGGGCGGCTGAAACAACTACCACTAACTTCCCGTAGTTTTGGACCCTAGGAAGTCCAAGATCAAGGTGCTGGCGGGACCCGTGTCTGGTGCGGGCCCGTCCTGGTTTGCAGAAGGCCACGTCCTTGCCGTGTCCTGCGACAGTGAAGAGAGAGGGGGAGAGAGAGACTAGCCCCCACCATGACCTGCTTACCTCCTCATATCATCTTGTGCGTTTGGGGGATAAAAACATGCAGCCCACAACACTAGGCTGTTTCCAGTAGGTGTTTGTTTGTCTGTAACTAACACTGAACTGATACGGACCAGCTGGGATGGCCGTTAGGCTGTGTCTCCTAGGAGTAACCTTTCCTCATCTGGAGCCAGTCGGCGAGGACACACAGCCTTCGCTCTGCTGAGCCCCTCGGTCATCTACATTTGTGCTGTTAATGTTGTCTTCCCCCATCCTGCTATGATCTGTGGGCCTTTTGGAATGAAGGGCACATGTGAGTGAGATCCTCTTAAAATGTGTCCCATCACTTCAGCCTGTCAAGACCGTTTGCTCCTAAGAAGCACAGATAACTCCTAATTCATCTTTGTATTCCTGGGAGAACACAAAGAAACACAGTGCCCGATAAGCTCTCCTGAATCTCATTTGTTTTTTATTGACTTGGGAAAGATAGGGAAGGCTCCTTGATATTTTCGATGACCTGCTTCGTGGGTGACATAAGGCAGACTTCCCCGCCCAGGCTCCTGGTTCACTGGGGACCACGGGCTGTGGCCTCTGTTGCCTTATCTGTGAAGTGAAAGGCCTATGTGAATGGCCCGGAGGTTCCTTCCACTCATAATAATTCGTTTGCTGTGATTCTGGGTCACCACTTTCTTTGGCCCAGGAAGATCCACTCAGAGCGCCTTCCGGGCGCGTGCTGCAGTGTGCCGGCTGCAGGAGGGACCTCACCTCCTGTCAGTGTCCCCCCAAGGCAGGCTCCCCCTGGACAAAACCCCTCCTCCATGTGTTTCTGTAACGGCCACAAAGAAGCGCCTCCTTTATGGCTGTGCCTGTGGAATTCCCTGGCCTGGGTGTGAGTGTTATTATAAAATACACACAAAACTGAGAAAACAGGGGAGGGGCCGGTGCTTTAAACATTCAAAATTTCCAAGTTAAATTCCCAGCAAAATAATATTTTGGTGATTTTTCTTTTTTTAATAAAATAAAAGAAGAGACATGTACACGTGCCTCTATGCAGCACGCTTCCTGAATGCAGGGTGCCAGGCAGGTGTGGGGGAGGGGAGGATGGCAGACAGGAAACCAAGTTGAAGCAGTGATGGGTCCCCCAGATGACGATTCACAGTCCGAGTGGGGACAGTGTTGCGATTTAAGGCCATTGTCAGGCTCCCCGTTCCCCAGGGGCGAGCAGAAAATTCATGAGCCTGTCTGAGTTTTTGTCAGGAGCAGGGGACAGAAATCCCTACTGAATAACGTTTAAAAGGACAGTGGGAGACTGAAGCTCAAGTTTTGTTCGGTTATCTCACAAAGTGTGTTGTTGAAGGTACTGTTTACATGTGTCTACTCTAGGTCAGGCGACAGTGTCGCTGCAAAGAACTACCCTTAACCTTCAGATGAACCTGTAACGACATTATGAGTGTCATTTTACAAATAGGAAAACTCAGGCCCCTAAAGATTAAGTTTTTGACCCCCCCCTGCCCCCCCAAAAAAAGTTGGTGCTTATGTAGTGCCTACTGTTAGCTGGGATTATACTTCAACTCATCCAGTGTCTGAAACAACTGGTAAACCTAGACATTATTATTTGAATTGTCAGCAGGGGCGCTGCTGGTTGCTGGGGGCCCACGAGGCGCCCTCTTGGCACGTCACTTGTCACTTGGGGCAGTATTAGCGTCCTGCTTGGGTGCAAGGTGAGCATAGGAATCAGTTAACAGCTTTCTTCTGCTCCCATTAAAAAAAAACACACACAAAACTTTTTATCTTCTACACACACGACCGCGGAAGGAAAGAGATGTGATAAATTGCACTTGGGCTGTTGAAGGTTTCCATCTGGAAGTACCCACACCCCTTCTGCCCGTGCTCTCTGACCAAAGCACATCACAGGACCGCATCCAACTTCACAAAGGCAGGGAAGGGCCACCCGTCATGCAGCCTGAGGAGAGGAGCCGTGTTCGCCAGCAGTCCTCATGGACGTCCCGCCGGTCCTGTGAGGGAGGAACACGAGTTGAAGGTGTTCTGTGAAATATATGTATGAACTATCTATGACGACTATCTGTTAGTGTTGTGGACAAAAAAGGGGCCACATACTAACCCTGACAAGCTCAGGGGAGGCCTGCCTGGCGGGCCCTACAAACTCAGAGATGGAAATTAGCCACATAGGATGGTCTGAACATGGAAATTCCTAACTAAAAGCAGGTCATGGCCTGTAGTCAGAGCCTTGGCCTGTGGCTGCCTTGACAAAGGTCAGCCTTTACCTTAAGTGAGCCTGTCTGTTGTCTTTTTTGCATCTAGGATAACATCCCCTTGGAATATCAGGCTAAACTCTTTTTTCCCGACCCCTTAGGGCACAGCCCACTGCACCAGAGCACAGAACCTCTCCGTTGTCATCTTGTTCCCCAAATACCATCTCTTCGTGCTGTAAAATGTTAATTAGTAGTTATCCTGTACCCACCAATGTAAAAGAAGTATCTGTCTCTCCAATGTACTTTTCTCCAATCCCAGAGATTTCCCCACTTCGCTTTGTCTCACCCCCTTAATCTACAACCAATGGCTTTCATGGAAACCTCCTCCTTTAATTCTAATGTATAAAATAAGCTGCAAAACTGCCATTTTCCAGAGCATTTTCTCAATCTGATGAGATCTTGCTTCCTGGCAGTTGTCAGTTTGGCTCAAATAAACTTCTGTACAGGTTTGGACATTTCTTACGTTAACAACTGAAATTAAATTTGTTTTTCCAAAAGAGCCCAGAGCATGTTACAGACAGGCCGTCTGAGCAGTTGTAAGAAGGGTTCACAGCTCTCATGTCTCTGTAGTGGCTGCAGGTGCCCGCCGGACGAGCCTGGCCTGAGGAGACCCCATGGGAACCCCAGGTCACTGGACGTGGGGTCTGGGTCCCACGGCAGCTCTGGTCTCTTCCCTGTGCTCTGTGCCTCCAATCATACTGTTTACTGAGGAAAAATAACACAGGAGAAAGAAACAATTGGGAAGCTATTTGTTTTAAATCTAGCGGTAGGGAGTGCAGGTTAAAGCACTCTGACTTGACTGTGAAGGACTCCGTGAGCACTGAAACCAGGCCACGTTGGGATTGGGGGGCGGGGGAGGGGCAGGTGGGGGTTCTGCAGGCAAAAAGGAAAGTATGATTTTTTTTTTTTATCTTGCTGGGAACAGAGGAAATCATTTCCTCCCAGGAGATTTATTTAAGTCCCCCGTTTGCCCCTGAGGTGGTGGTAATGCATATGCATTGTGGGGACCGCTGAGCGGGTTGATTTATTAACGAGACTTTTGCTTCTATTTCAATGCAGCTTTGCCATGGAAAGTGCTGAAAGGAAAAACAAAACAGCTTTCAATTAAAAGGAGAAAAGTGTTCAGATGAGGAGCAGGCTGAAGATATGAAGGTTGGTTTGCTGTCGGATTGGGTGCCTGCTCTGTCCCCGCAGGACACAGCCCCACTCAGCCCACCTCAGCAAGGGGCACATCTAAACATCCGCAGAGGTGAGTGAAACTTCTCTGTTTCCAATAGAAAATTTCTAGTATCAAATGCATTTAGTTCGGGTGTGTTGCTCCCTCGTTCCTTTTCTTTTGTAAGGGTCATATTTCAGAAATGTGATCTGAGAAATATTTGGAAAGCCTGGCTCAGCACAAGGTCCTGAAGCCAAGATTCCTCAGGGCAGGTGTCCATCAGGGCATGCAATTCAGCTTTGACCTAGGAGCATCCAATTATTATCATAATCCCACTGGTGGCGTGAAAGGCCCCACCCAGCAGTCACGGCCGCATGAAGGGGCTTCCTCCTGAGCGACTGAATCCTGGGCCCTGTGAAGGACGGACGTCTCTCTCTGTGGCACACTCACCCCTATCTGCTCATTTGTTTTCCAGATCATGACTGTTGTGTTACGAGGTGCATCAGCCTTCAGGAAAGTGTAGGAAATAATATAAAGGGCAACTGTATACACACCACCCAGCTCTGTCAGATTTTGTCATTCAGCCGCACTTGCTTCATGTTATTTCAAAAAATAAATAGCACATCACATACTCAGTCAACTCTCTCCATGTGACTTCCCCTAAGAGCAGTCCCCTTTTTCTTCTTCTCCAGAGGCAGCCATCATTCTGGATTTGGTATTTATCATTTGCCGGTGTGTTTTTATACTTTTATGACACATGTATGTTTGCATAAACAATGCATAATTATCTTGTGTGTGTTTTAAACTTTACGTAAGTGCCATCATGCTGCATGCATAATTCTGAAATTTACTTTTTTAACTCGATGTTATGGGTTTCTTTTTTGCTTTATGCAGTTTTGGTTCACTCATTGTAACACTATGCATATGGTGTTCAATTGTAGGATATACCGAGTAGTCAATTGAAATATAACCATGCAGTCATTCATTTTTGCCGCCTGAAGAAAATTTATGCACTTCCAATTTCACTAGCACAAAGGGTAATCACAGTTTTGTTTCATTTCCTTGTCAAGTTTTTGTCAGGTTTTGGTATCGGGGTAATGCTGGCCTCATAGAATTCATTGGCAAGTATTTCCTTTTCTTCAAAATCCTTGAAGTGTTTGTGTATGACTGGTATTATTTCTTCCTTAAATATTGGTAGAATTCACCAGTGAAGACACTGAAGTTTTCTATGTGGGAAGGTTTTTAACTCTAAATTCACTTTTGTTAATAGCTATAGAGGAACTTAAGTTGTCTATATTTCTTGAGTGAGCTCTGGCAGTTTGTGTCTTTCTAGGAACTTGTCCATTTTCTCTACATTTCAGAAATTATGAGCACACGTTTGCTCATACAGCCCCTTGTCCTTTCATTATCTATAGTATGTGTAGTGATGTCATATCTCAACTGTGATGTTGGTGTGTTGTGCCTTCTCTCCCTCTTTCTCTGGTCAGTCTGGTTAGAAGTTTGCCAATTTTATTGATGGTCTCAAAGAAGCAGCTTTTAATTTCATTATTGTTTTACTGTTTTGTTTTGTTTTTTTTATTTCATTGAGTTCTGCTCTGATGGGGCTCAGGACATTCTACCCCAAAATATGGCACCTTGGCAACTTGAATATCAGCTGAAGGCGTTTGAGAAAAGGTTAGAATCAGGAAGGACACTCTGACCTCTCCGCTTGCCCTTCTTCCCTGAAAACAGGGGATAAAACTCCTCTGTGAAAGTTCCCCTCCCTGTACCAGGAGGAAGAGAGACGTCCTTATCACCAGAGACGGGACTTCAGGACCAAGATGGCTGGATAAACAAACCGTGTTCAACTAATCCTTATGGTCCTAGTTACTGCTTTACCCCCAGCCCAAATCCCTCTGTCTTGTCAATTCTTCACAAGTTTATTGTTTCTTTGTCTAAAAGATGTAAAAGCTTCCTGCTTCTTTGAGTCTTCATTCTCTTGGGCAGGCTGCTGTGAACATGTAAAAATTCGATGTTTGTGGATATCCACATATAGCTTGCTGAGATTCTGACTGGAGCTGCACTGAATGTAGAGATCAGGTTGAGAAGAACTGACATCTTGACAATATCGAGCCTTCCTATCCATGAGCCTGTAACATCTCTCTTCTGATTTAGCTCTTTGGTTTCTTTCATCAGAATTTTGTAGTTTTATTTATATAGCTCTTGTCCATATTTTGTTGGATTTATACCTTAGAATTTCATATTTTGGCTGCTCATGTAAATGGTACTGTGTTTTAAACTTCAAATTCCAAAATTTCAAATTTGTGTTTCAAATTTCCATTGCTGGTATACAGGAAAGTGATTGAATTTTATACATTAAGCGTGTCTCCTGCAACCTTGCTATAATTGCCCTTTAGTTCCAGGAGCACATCAATGGTTTTGGATTTTCTACATAAACTATCGGGTCATCTGCAAACAAAGACAGTTTTACTCCTTCCTGCCTAATCTGTATACCTTTTATTTCCTTTTCTTGTCAAATTGCATAAGCAGAGACTTCCAGAAAAAGATGCTGCGATTTGTTTTCCACTCAGCAGCTGATGGACTTTTCAGTTGTTTCCAGTTTTTGACCATTGTGAATAAAGCTGCTTTGGACATTCTCATGCGGAGCTCGTGCAAACATATGTCCTCGTTTCCTGTGAGTAGAGGCGTGGAATGCTGAATTATATGAAGAGGACGCCCCGCTGTCCAAGACGCCACCAAGCTGCTTACAAAGCCAGGTTTCTGATCAGTGCCTATCGGCGGCCTTACGCTTTTTGGTCTAGTAAATCGCCTCTGCCTTTTAAATGGAACACCTAGACTGTTTATGTTTTGCACGATTACGGATGTGGGAGGGTTTAATTCTACCCTCTGCCTAATGCTTTCCACGTGTCCCATCTGACCTTTCTTTCTGTTCCCTCATTTTTGTGTGCCTTCTTTAGGATTGAGTGTATTTTTATAGTTCCATTTTATTTAACCTGTCAGCTGACCATTCTGCTTTTCAGAAATTTTTGGTGGTTGTGGAGGAGATGTGGCTTTCACTGTGACCCCTCATTCAGAGGTGACAGGTTTTGCTTTGGATCTGGGGCCCTGCAGGGGCCCATCTGGGAGCTGCAGCCTCTGCGGGCTTCCTGCCTGTGTGCCCCCAGGTGGGGGGCACATTCGTTCCACCTTGTGAGTACTTGGCAGTGGGTGCAGCCTGGGAAGAGCAGGCTCTCCTTGTGTCCAGCCGGCACCCTAGCCGATATTTATTTGCCTTTCAGAACCCGTAGACCCCCTCAGCCACATTCCTTTTGTCAGATTTCAGGGCCAGAATGCTTTAGTCTAGAACCATTGGAGGCTTTCTGTTTTGCTTCACTTTGTTTAGTGCAAGGAGCAGATGGTGTAATGCTAGTGAACAGATGGAGGAGAAACCAGAATGACTCAGTTTATACTTTATTTTTCACTTTCTTTATATAAAAATGGTGTTCAGACAGAAAGGACAGAGCAAACTTGTGGGAGCTGAAGTCCCAAATAGTCAGAAAATAATGTGAGAACACCTGCTTTCTGTAAGAGAACAGTGTGATTCAGACAATCAAAAAGGCCTCGGAAAGGAGATTGCAAAGCTCTTGGAGGCAATCTTTGTGGGATGTTGAGGAACAAGAGAGAGACCAGCGGGCAAGAGACGGACAGATGTCCTAGCTTTCAAAATGAGGGTAGGGGCCACTTAGAGGACTGCAGACGAGCCTTCTCTCCATCTCTTGGTGGACAGTTTTAGTCTAGATGCTTCAGGAACACCCAGGAAAGAAGGAACTAGCATTGGCTCACTTAAAAGAAAAAGCCATGTCAAGGTGACCTTGTTTCCTGAGAATAATGTGTTAGTACGTGGGGGGAGCTGCATGTATCTTCACTTGGGTCAGGATTGAGCTCCCTGAGGACAAAGGGGAGAACAATGGGTTACAAATAACACCCTTTGGTGAGTTCAAAGCTGGCTGGAGAATTATGCCCAATGGAGTTACAATGGGACAGAGAAGAACAGTGGTCTTCCCTGGGGCTTTGTCCTTGCATCTGTCCTGCTCAAAATTGATTATCAATCATCTAAATAATGACAGCTGTCATGATGCCCGTGGAGAGCCCTCTGTCTAAAATAATAAAAACGAGGTTACAAGATACCCATGCGATAAGCCAGGATGACAGTGCAGAGGATACAATTTTTTCTTTTTCTTCCTTATGTGATCCTGATGGGGCTGATGACAGAAGCAGTCTAACAGAGGTCTTTGTGTCACTGTCAGCATGCAGACCCTTCCCTTTCTCCCGCAACCTCCCTGCATTTGGGAAGATATACACAGCTGTGCGGTGAGGATGAAGCCAGAAGCAGAGAGAGCCAATGAAAACTTAAGCTATAAAAATAAAACCTGAACTCGATAATAATATGAAACCTTTGCAATAGTGAATTGCTTCTGAAACCAGGACCGGAAACACGTCACATCCTGCATGTAACTTTTGTCATGAGACTAAGCAGAGAGCTGAAAAGCTTCCCAAAGGCTGGCTGACTCCTCAGCCTTGCCCGACCTTAGAACAGACCCAAACTCCCCAGAGATCGCAGGAACTCTAGAGGAGGGCTTCTACCAAAATGAGGGCACAGGGAGGGTTTCTGGTGGCTCACGGGGGTCCTCCTGCAGGGAGTGACCGGCAGAGCCACCTGTGTGCCAAGGCTGCGTGAGGTGAGCCTGAGAGTGCCTGGAATGCAGGGTGGACCTGCCCACTTTCTGCACAGTTCCTCAGAGCTCAGGGTTAGTGCTTTTGGCAAGTGTATAGAAAACAGTAGATAGGGTGTTAAAAATATTTTGCAATGCCACAGTGCCGTCAAGCCATCAACCATATGTGCAGCAAGCATTTTAATTTTTTAAAGTTTTCTTACATGTTTTACCAATCTTTGTTGAAAACATTCATATTGGTCTTGTTTTAAGCTCTTACTGACAAGGCATAATTGAACAGAAGCCCCATTTTCTATCTCAAACAAAATGTTTTCATGAGGAGCGCCTGGGACTGGTCTAACCAGTCTGTAGGTCAACAGGTCAGCGTGTGATAACTGGCGAGTCTGCAAACCATGGCGGCAGAGCAGAGCTGACGCGTTTCAAACAACCCCTTCAACAACCGTGGGAGTTGGGGTCGCCGTGCCACTCACTCGGAAACCCAGGGAAAAGACGGGCCCCTGCTCTTGTGAAGAATATTGATCCAATTCACCAAGTATTGAAATATTTGAGAAATGTTTTACTACAGTGAAAACATTAAGGCGAGCAGAGGTGGAGGCAGTGGGTCAGCTCAGTTCTCCGGCGGTGGGAACCTGGCCTCTCGCCTCCTGAAGCAGCCTGATCAAATCCACTCCTCACTGCTGCGCCTCCTCAGCCCTTCTCATCAGCTCCTTCTCCAGTGGCTTGGGGTTTGATGTGAAGCACCTGACGCGTTAGCACTTTCAGCGGACCTCGGTTCCCTGTGGACACCGAGACCAGAACACATCCTCGGCGCACCCACTGTTCACTCGGCCATTCCCCACATGACTCCCACGCCACACAGGCAAACCCAGCCGACGAACGAGGCAGCAGATCTTTTCTAGCTGCTTATTCAGTGGGGTTCTGGTGTCGCCTGGGCAGATTCACTTTTTACAAAACACGTTGACAACCTTGCTTTTGGACCTCTAGAAACTCAGAGTGAAGTGTATGGGCTTGCCTCTGGACCTCGGGCAAGGACCAGAGAAGGGGCTGCTGCTGCTTTCTTGTGCTAAATCAGGATGCTTTCCTTTTATAGCATTTAAAAAACTTTCCCAGAAAACATTGGCGTTACCCTGTGTCATGTATTTAAGTGCACAATGTTAGACTCTCTTAAAAGAATGTTGAAAAGACTGTATTTTAAAATAACAAGCATGGGGAAAAGACTGTTTTTAAATAAATAACTGCAACCTAAATTAGTCAATAAACACTTGTTGAGTGCCCGTGATATGTAATGCAATAGTAACCTTGAACAAATTCTAATTGAAAATACCTGTTCTCCCACGAGGCACCTGGCATAGCTCTGTGTTTAAAACTTGCTCATCTGATGCCAGACGGTGCAAAACCTGGGCTCCAGGTGTGCATGCACGTGCGTGCGACACACACACACACGGGCTCAGACAGCACACCTGGGTAGCTGACACTGCTGTGTGACTCTCGGCAGAACCCTGAGGCCACATTGAGTTGTGGTGTTTCGCGTGTTTATGACAGTCTGAGGACTCATGGTGAAAGGAGTCACAGCGTATTCTGGCCACTGTGAAACAGCCGGAACCCGCCTGTGACCCGGGGACCACCCAAGCCTCCCCATAATGTGGGTTAGCGTGTGCTCTCGTGAAGTTACAGGGACAGTGAAGCAGGTATGTTTCTTGCTGGCTGAAGTACAGACTGTGTCCGCTGGTTATTTATAAAGCCTCCCACCCCCTCACCCTCACCCCAACATGCTGGACGAGGCTGTGAAGGGGCACCCAGGGAGATAAGACCTCCTCCCCTCCTTTCAGGAGCCTGTCTGCTGGAGAAGGTAAGACATCAGCACGAACCAGTTAAGTGACCCTCAGACCGTGTGGAATTCACTGTCAAAATGGAACGTTACAGGCAGTCATGCTATAATGAGGTGGAGAATTCTATTTATTAGAAATTGTCTGTGAGGATTTTTCGTGCAGCAGTAAGAGAAGTACTTTCCAGGAAGCCCGCCAGCAGCGGGAGGAGGACCACCAGGGGTCAGGGAGGTTCCGGGGGTCCCAGCCCTGCTGGGGGTCTGGGGCAGGTGTCAGGGACCACTCCAGGTGGGGGCAGGGGAGGCAGAAGCACCTGCCTTGGGGGGGGCCGGTAGCTGGGGTCTCTGCAGAACTGACAGCAGGGCCATCTGGGAAGCTGCCAGGCGAAAGAGGACTGGCCAGGACAGAAAAAGGAACTGCTAGGAGCGGCTGGGTTGTGAATCAGAACCCTTTCCTGTTCTCGGGAGCTGTTAACAGGAACCCAGTTTTAGTTTGGATGTTGGACCGATTGGGGTGCCTCCTGATCCGATAGAAGGCCAGTGAGGCCTGGAGAGGGGCGAGGGGGCTCAGCGGGATGGAGGAGACGCACCTGAGCTGATTCTTAAAGGTGAGGTGGCGGATATGAAGTGGGAAGGCATTTCGGGGGGAGCGGCTGGCCTGAGCACAGGTTTGGGGTGGGGGAACAAACAGGCCCATTGGGCAGAAATCAGGAGGCTGGCATCGCTGGGGCGGCTCGTGGTGGGGACCAGTCCAGAAGGTCAGTCAAATAGGATTCTAGAAACTCTTGAGTACCTGGTTGGGCTGCTGTGTGTGAGCCAGCAGGTGACAAGGAGCCGCTTGAAAATGTCCGATGGGGAGGTCGGGTGATGGAGACTGAGCGGCTTGAAGCCATTGGTAACAGCTGCTTCCTCGGCCAGGGGTGGGTCACAGGAACCTGGGTTATGGACAGGGAGGCTGAGAGGGAACGGGGACAAAGCACCGCTAACACCCAGGGACTAATGGAGGGAATCAGCAGCGATACGAAAGGTGGCCCTACTGGGCGTCTACTCGTGCGTGTGCGGCCCGTGTGGGCACCTGATAAATACTGTTGGGTGCATCCTGACAATGATGCTATGAATGTGTGTCATTAATGCTTTTGGTGCTTGAGGAAACTAAAGCCCGGAGAGCGTGGGTGACTTGTCAGCATTCGTAGAGCTACCCGGGCGTGGAGCCGAGGTGGTTCTGCCTCAGGGCGTGTGCGCTGCACGGCCACACGGCACACGGATCCAGGCTCCAGGGAGCTGGGGAAGCCAGAGTGAGGAATTGCTTCAGAAAGGAAAAGCGGATCACTTTCTGATTGTCTTGGCTTTGAAGTTCAGTCAAAATACCTTTCTACTGCAAGGACGGGCTTGGCTCCTTTCAGCAGTGGGGGTGGATGGGGGCCACGCACGTGGAGGGGAGTGGCTGCTCCGTGTCCGTGGGGAGGAGGCTTGGGGGGCTCATCAGACTTCTAGCTCATGCTGGTTTTTGCTCCCATGTTGACCAACCAGACCCGTGGGCCCCTAACCAGCGAGCAGTGTGACCTTGTGACAGTTGCAGGGCCTCAGGCTCCTTGTCCTCCAGCTGGGGGCCCGGGCACAGGTTCTCAGCTTCTGCTCCCCAAATCCAGTGCCGTGGAACCCCTCGGGAACCCTCGTCACGGGAGTGCAGAAGGCGGGGGTGACAAAGCTTCCACTTTCCTTCTCCTTCTCCTCAAACAACCCCTCCAACCACCACTTTCAAAGTGGTTTTGTGGGTTTTACTTACTTATATTTTGGGGGAAGGTTTCATTCGGACAGAACACTCCCTGCATTCATCTCTGTCCGTATTGGCAATGAACATTCCAGATGGTTCCCTGGGCCCTTCCGAGTCTGACATTCTATGATTTGGGGCCAACTGTCTCCCCTGGAGTGGAAGGAGGCAGGTCAGCTGGACACAGAGGAAGAAACCCATCCGCTGCGGCAGACATGGAGATGCCAGCACCACGGCCCGAGGGCTCGTGGGAAGTGAGGATTTGGGGGCCCACGTCCAAGGCCCAGGATGTACACTCGTGACAAACTGTCCTGTTGTTTTGTTACCACCTCGAGTCAGACGCCGGTGTCAGGTGCGACGAGATTGTAAGGACGGTGCTGTGTGCGGCTGGTAGCCTTTCCTTGCTGCCTCTTTCAGTGACCGAGTCTGCGTCTGCTCGTGCTGGGGTCCCTTGGAGAGCAAGAGACCTGTGAACACGTTCTTGGATCGGGTCAGACCGCTTGGGGGCCAGCGATGTGTAGGCAGCGTGCACAGCTGTCCTGATGGTCAGAATCGTGACGGCTCAGCAGCACACCCAGGAGGGGCTGCATTCCCCCACAGACTTGTGATAGATGACATCTCAGGGCCCCGGGGAGACAGGAACGCGTCACCATTCTGCGAGCATCTTCAGTTACCTGTCTGTAACCTGATTCACAGCCAGAGGGGCGAGTGGCGACCTTGGGTGCCCATCCGACACGGGGCATGTGGCAGACAGACGACATCTTGAGAACTGTTTGTGAGACTCCCAGGCTCCTGGAACCTACTGCACTTATTCCCAGCCTTTCCCGCTGGGTCACACATCCTGACTCACTGTCTCATGTGCAAGACAACTTGATTTCATCAGAGATGGATGGGGTGGGGGTGGGGCATAATACTAGGACGTCAGTGTGAGGCCCAGAGGGGCCGGGGGTCAGGTGTCAGGGGACGGCCCCCAGTGCCACAGGGCCCTACCCTCAAGGAAGGTAGCATGGCCTCTAATTTGTCCTGGGAAGTTCCAAGTTGAACAATAACTTTGCAGAGGTAGTTTGTATTACAAAGTCCTTTCATACCTTTCATCTCATTTAAACCGCGAGGTAGATATTACATTTTACAGGTGAGCAAATTGAGAGTCAGGTAGATAGCTTTGCCCCAACCATCCCGCCAAGCCAGCCCTGTAGGGTCGTTAATGTAGGGGTTGTGCTAGGATTCTCCAGAGGAATAGCCAACAGGCTGTGCATGCATGTGTGTGTGTGCATGTGTGCGCGCATGTGCATGTGTGTGCACACATGTGCATGTACATGTGTGCGTGTACACACACGTGTGTGTGCGCATTTATTTGTTTTAAGCGATTAGGTCATGGTTCTGTGGGCCAGGCAAGTCTGAAATCTGCAGGGCAAGTCAGCACAGCAGGCTGGAGACCCAGCGAAGATTTGATGTTGCAGCTCAAGTCTGAAGGCGTCTGGAGGCAGAATTCTGTCTTCCTCTGGCCACTTCAGTCTTTTCCTCTTGAGGCTTTCAACTGATTGGATGAGGCCCACTCACATGGCAGATGGTAATCTGCTTTACTTAAACTAAAACATTTTACAAATGCATTTACATGACATCTAGACAGGTATATGGCAAACACCGGGTAACAGAGTCTACCTAAGTGGAGACATAAAATTGACATCAAAGGGGCTCTGAGGGAATTAAAACAATGACTGAGAAACAGACGCCCCTATGCCAGTGGTTCCGAGGTTACCACTCCACACAGGGACGAAGCAGAGTGGACATGCTCTGTGTGGCTCTCTGAAGGTCAGGGCGCCCGAGACAGGTGAATCTCAGGTGTGTTCTCCCTGGCTGTCATGGCTGTGTCTCCACAGAGCAGCTTGTCCACTGGAGGAGCTACAGAGCTCTGCTGTGGTCGTGGAGGGGCGGGTGCAGTAGGTCCCAGGAAGCTCTCTGCAGCAGGGTCTGCTGTCCCTCTCGGTCCCTTCTTCAGTCCCGGTGTGTTGTGAACCTGGTGGTCTACAGCTGCCTCTTCCCTCTGCTGTCCCCAAGGGGAAGCACTCTGTGCCGGACGCCTCTGCCCACCCTCCTCAATCAGCTGCTATGTGTTTCATGTCCGTGGAGCCCTGGCCGGCTCGCGATTTCCATCTATACAACAGTCCTTCAGATGAGCCGGTGGCCGTGAGTGGCCTGTTGGCACCAGGTGTCATATTGTCTTTCCCTAGCCATAAGCACACGTCTGTGTAATTGCTTTCAAGGAGCAAGGCTCGTGGGCATCACTGCGTGTGACCAGTCCCCAGGGGAGGTATGAACTGGGGGGCTCTTACCGCTTCCTAGACAATGTGTGTTTCCACAGTGACCACACGTGTGGACTGGCCAGCCCCGTGCCCACGCCCCTGCCCCTCCGGACACCCTCAGCTCTTCGGAGGCGTTGTCGCCCCCCACTCATGTTGTAATTACTGATGACAGACACCGGTTCTCCTCTGGCTTGGAGTGACCGTAGGTGACGACAAAACCTGAGTCCCTTTGTATCTCTTTCAGTATCTAACACATGACAGATACTCAGGTAATGTTGAAGCAAGAAATCGTTAGGTGAGCTCCCCCCGCCCCCCCCCCGGGA